AAAGTCTAAAATATTAATTCAATAATCATGTCATATATCACTATATAGCAGTGTTGCACATAGCCATGAACCAGAGTCTTCGGTATAAGAAGAATTCCTAGGATTAATAATATTTGATTAAATGAATTGGTATGGAAATTTCCTCATTCAAAGTGGGCAAAGTCTGGATTCCATGAAATTGATTGCGATGCCCAAATATTTTTCTGTATAAGCTTTTGCCCTGAAAACTACGCGAGTCTATTACTTATGGGAGGCAGGTGCCGATACCGAAAGAACACTGCCCATTTTTCCTCAAGTCGATAGGCAGGATATTGCTTTATTTTGAGGTGTCGCCATTGCAAGATTTTTCCTCGAGAATAAGTGAGCTTTTTTGATTGGATGATTGGCGCACAACACATGCTATAGTTGCGTAATTAATTTTATATCATGTTTACATGGTGTTTTATTTATTAATCAATAATTCTTGGGTCACCGGAGCAACGTTCGAAATTGAAAGTTTTTCTTCGTCTACACTCTAAAGAATGAATGGATTACCTGTAAATAGTAGTTGTTTGATGGTAATAAGTATGTTTCTGTGGTGTAAAAAGTATACATTTATTGGTTGTAGAGCATTGATGAGGCATAAGTATCATCTTCGTTTAAAAGCCGTGGCGGGAATGGGGCGGGTATAAAAAGGTCCATTTTTAGCTTCCTTCATGTTATTGAATGCGATTAACTTCCATCGACTGTTATATTGTATAATTATACTCTGCCGTGAAAAATAGTTATTCAAGTTTACAATCATAATTATTGATATCGCATGCACTAACATCGGCCAACTGGTTGTAAAAACACGATATTTTCTGTTCAAAATTAAGATCGAGATAATTTCCTGCTCACCAGGCCTCTACTCTGAGCGTTTTCAAAGCCGTCTGTAAATTTTTTCGTTGTCTACAGTGCAAATTATAAGCAGAAGAAGCGATGACTTTTGAAAAGTGATAACTTAAGACATTTTCTATTGTTGCTGCTACAAATAATTATAAGCAGAAGGAATGAGAATTTTTGAAAAGTGATAACTCAAGACATTTTCTGTTGTTGATGTTGCAAATAATTATAAGGAGAAGGAATGAGGATTTTTTAAAGGTGATAAATTAAGAAATTTTCCCGTACCAATTCGTCCAATGGTCTTTTGATTTGTTATTCTACATGTGGGTGAGCCTAAAAGAGGCCACATATCTTTCATTTTCAATTACAGTAGTTCACAAAATTTGCACTTAATAAGTTAGTCACAGCAGAAAAAGGGATCTTTTGTATAATGTCCAAAAATTTACAATAAGTTTTAACATCTTTACCTCAAGTCCAAATTTTGAGGATCATGAATGCATTTTTCGCCACATTAGTTCAATGCATTTTAGTGCATTACATCCATAGGCGCCCTGCGTAATCTTCTCTGACGCACTTGAGTTGCAGCTCGTGTTGAATAAAACGAGTTGAATATATTTATATGGAACAAACACTCTGAGGAAATATATTAGTGAAAGATTAAAAAACTTTTAGAATATTTTTATAATGGGTAGTTTGTTAGGTAATTAGCTAATTAATTAGTAGCTTCTTAAAAGAGTAAGTTTTCTCTTCTTAAGGGAATGATCAATTTTTCCTGTTCAGGCACAATTTGGGAGCATACTTAAGGAGCATGTGTTCCATATCACTATATATAAAATCTATTATTTTCTTCCTATTGGGGATTTTCATTATACATGATGTTCTCGTACTTGTACAAGTTATTAAATTTAAATTTAAACGTGAACCTGCAAGGATATAGACCCTTGATTACTTTCTGATTGAGCTCTGAGATTGAAGCCCTCAGCATCGGAAAATTTTACGAAATATAGTGAGTTATTAGGTATTAAGAAAGGATGTTCAATGTTCATATCCGTTATATCGAGGTTCACTTCCACAACAACATTTATGGGAATCGCAGTCATCACAAAAGGAAAGTAGTTTGATTCGAATTTATGCAGATGTTGTTAAAATATTCAAACGTAGAAGTCCTTTGTTGTTCGTTATTGTTCAATAGATTGGTTATTCGTTCTGTTCATAATCAAACAGCAGATTCTTGGCTCTTTTGACACAAACCCTCCCATATTTTCAGCACTCAGATTTCGCGTCGAAGCAGATTTTCATTGATCGAGAAGACAATCCTTAAATCGATGCGCCGTGTAATCTCTCTTGGGTAAATTGACTCACTGAATGTGGGAGTAGTTATTCTGCTCTGAAGTTTAAGCTAAGGAACAGTCAGCTAAGGAACAGTTTGCTACAAAAAGAATTTAAAGACTATTACTCTCTCGGAAACAGGAACGTTGATTTTTTTCAGTCTCGAGAAGCATCTGGAAATATGTTAAAGTTTGCGAATAACTTGCAAATTTTTTCCAATATATATATCCTTTAGTAGCAACCACAGGAGAGAGTGTTTTATCAGCTCGAAATTGTAGGGTTGCAATAGTAAGAAGCAAATTAACTTTAACTCATATTCTTAATTGCAATAATCTGTTGCGGGTTAAAATCGATAATTTTTACACTGAGAAATTATCAAAATTTGACTATTAAAAAGTGGTGGCGTCAAATGAGCGTAGGACTAGAATGGTTTCTGTTGTTAATGGATGATTGTCGTCAGTCAAACCACTTGAAGATTAAAAATATCCTAAAAACTTCGATGCATTCGCACAGTTTTTAAAAACAGGTTGTATAGAATAGTATCCTATAAAACGAGGATAAGTCACATCTCAGAAGTTCAGTGTTGTCTAGCAAAGGAATAATATTAAACATTTAATCTACTATATGATGTTTAATTACTTGGATAGTTCAAAATTAATTTTTGAATAAAGTTTTATCGCAACCTGTAACAAATAAATCGGTCTTTTTCGAATAATAACCATTTAACAAAAAAATTCAAACTATTTAGTAAACAGGCTTAAAATATAACTTTCTTGCCTACTATGATGTCTACTTTTACTATTTTGGGAAAATTCAGGTTTCCTCCGGAAACTAGCGTTTAACGAAAGAGTTTATTATTAATAACGTATGTATTAATATCTATCGATTCTCAGAAATTAAAAAACTGTTTGTTTGCTATGAATATGATTTTTTCCAATCACGATTTAACTGTTTTCAATTGTATTCATGTATTTTCTCCACTTACATGACTACTAGAATATTTTAATCTAAATTTATAGAAGATTCTTCAATCCTAGACGTATGACTGGACAACCTAATATGTTGGATAGTAAGTTAATCCAATATATATTAAAGATAGTAATTATGTAACAGTCGCTGCACTCAACCTCGCTTGTGTGCAGGCGGAATTACTATTCATATGAAGCAAATGTTCCCGCGATTGTTAATTTTCGTAAGGCTTCAATGCGGTAGGCACAAAAGCGTAAAAGCTTCTTGGCTTGAGAATTAGAGGCTTGTTCTTTTGATGTCCGACCTGTAGAGGACTTTAAATGCATCATAACCATCACAATACTTGCCCAAAATTGCCGGTAGCTTCTTACTTATTTCACCTTCTACTCAGGGCATGACTTCTGCTTTACTGAAGAATTCCCTTAAGCTGTAACATAATTTTTAATGAAATAGAGACCTCTTCTTTCGTCCGACAGAAAAGAGTTCTCTTTTTTTCAGCTGAAATTATGCAGGATATTAAACTACGACCCGAGAGGCCTTAATGTAAACACCAAAATATTAGGTCCTATTCACTGGGAAAAGGAATCACCGAACGGCTTAATTAAATTTTGTGAAAAATTTATGGCCTTTGAAAAATTCCACGAGCTGATAAAATTATTTAAATTACGTATTTATTCCTTTCAGATTTAACCACTTTCGTCGGGCCAAATAAATTGAGAGTGAATTTGACGTAATTAAATTGGGTATTTGAAACCATTCATAAAAAATTCTCGCTCCTAACGTTGGTTTAAATAGTGAAATGTCGTGTGTTAATAGTCTTTTTGCATTTGATTGATGTCAGTCAAAGATTCAGGAAAATTCAATAATATTGTTTGTATCGATTTCGATTATAGTGCCTTTCGCTTTTTGTTTTCTTTATTAACTGACTAAATCTTTTTTGTATGCTAGCTACTAGAATATAGATAAATTTTGTGAAATATAATCCGGAAGCCAGGTCCCCGTATGGATAATAGGAAAACTTCAGTCTGCGAGTTGGCCATTCTAATGTTCGATTTAATGAGCTCGCTGCAGTCGGTTTACAGAGCTCCAACCTAAGTTTAGTAATTAAATATTGTTCCCGTAATTTTTTGGAAACTTGTGGCTCAAAGTCACTGACGCAAACAAAAACAGCCATTCCGCTAACTCCCAACATTAAAACTTTGAAATTACATTGCCATCTCAGGTGATTTTTAAACCGAGATTTTATTTCGTGGCTGAGCGCCGAGAACTTTAATACTAATATTGTCTCTTTTAAAATGTATTATATCAAGTTCTGATATTTTATCACCTTGCTCTCATAATTATTCCAAAAGCTTTAAGGTTTTTTCTTACCTAAATGTTCAATAAAAGATTCGACTGAATTAACAGCAAAATACGTCTGTTAATAATGAATTTATGACACCGGTTTGTTTGTCAGATACTGGTTTGTATGACATGTTTACCATACCATCCAGTCTCAGAATTTATTTTTAGGGTTGAAATGGAAGCCGTGACGAACATTTCCGTTTAATGCTGCACTGTCGTTTCTATGAAACGGGCAGGCCCTGTTTTTCCAATATATCCACTGAGATAAAAAAATCGAATTGACACCGGGTTCCGGTGTCAAGAACCACCGGAAGCTGGTAAGGGTCTAAAATTTAATTGAAAAATATTTACATTGAGGAAACATCAAAATCGAAGTGTTTCTCTGCTGAATTCCCTCAGGGTCTTTGCGCATTAACTTTGCCAATTCATATAAAAATTATGAATAATTCATCGGTAGCAGAATTAATGCTATGAATGTTTCCTTCTCACCTCAGTTACGATGGAAGAGCCTCCGAGTCTGAGGGCAACCATAAGCTGCACGAAGCTCCCGATGCTCCGGGACGAGTTGCGTTCATCCCAACCCTCGATAACTTCCCTCACCAGGTAATTATTTTTAGTTTAATCACTAAAGTGTAACTCTTTATCTAAAGTTGCTGGTTGGAGTAATCATCGTTTTAGGATTTCTTCGTGTTTTTCTTTATATATAAACATAAACATGGAAAAGATTCCGAGCAAATGATAATTTTTTCTTCATTTTAGCGTAAAATTTCCTAAAAAGGACCACACTCTATGTTGCGGAAATTGATTTCTGTTAGAACATTTATATCGTACTTATTTTCTTATTTTAATAATTTATAAAACCAGTCTACGAAGTTTGTACCTAACACAAATTATCGAGTCAGATTAATTGGTGGAAAAATATGACCAAGCTTTCAATTACAAACAGCAATTAACGTGCAGGGTATCCTACGTCGTTATATAATGATTTGCGAGCCTAGTTGAAAATTTTCTCCCGCCTTTCATCACTAATTTTAACAATTCTATTGATTAAAAGGCAACATGGTTTTCATGAACTGCAATACACTTACAGTTTTTCTTTGGCTTATTTAAGAGTTTATAGGCGCTATGAGTATTGTGAGAGCAATCAATATGTTTCTAGGTTGATTGTCGGTACACATGCAATGCTATATATTGCACCAATATAAGCACAGAATTCCAATGCATTGAAAGCTCGCCTTTTCTCATTGCACTTGATCTTTTCAACGCTCTGATGAGACCTGCACAAGACGCCGGGTTGTGCTCTTTGCTCGATTCTAATTAATTTCGTGTGACCTCAATCGATCGGAGTGGCACAGGGAGTTTCGTTGCGGTAGAACAGACCTGCAATTACCATTGTTGACGAAATCTAATTAGACCCTCGCCGGGCAAAAACTAGAGCAGCCCTCGGAAGAAGGCTATTGGCCTTGGAACACATGGGTACCTAATGCGGACTATGAGATGAAGGCAATAAGTGGGAAGGTCAGAGGGGCCTGGCCAGACGAAAAGATGGAAACTTGTTCTGGCTGACCACAAAATGTCTCTTGAATGATCCTTTATTATGGCTGACGGGACAAACATAGAGCGAAGTCCTCACGCACCAGAATTTTTGTTGACTTTCGTGTTGTCTGAGATTTATCACCAGCCGTCTGCTGTCCACTTGAACATAAAAGAAGACGGTGACTTTATTGAACGGATGAATGTTTTCGTTTATTCTGGTAAAATTAAATTAAATTAAAATTATGTTATTGTTGTAAAAAGTAATTTGAAGAGTTAATAGTTTAACTCTGAGTGATTAGACAGCCCCAAAATCAAGCCAGGCAATATTAATTGATACTATCAATAGATTGAGTAGGTTGTGTTTACGACTTTCCACACTGCTGTGTAAATCAAGGAAATGAATATACTGTTTAGATTAATTATCGTTAAATGGATTACTTTTAAAACGATTTTTAGGACAGGGCTAAAAATTACAAAATTATTGTTTGGACTTTCAAATTTTAAACATCGTAATTAGGGGATTATCATTAATTTTCAGAATTCATCATTGGAAAAATTTGTAGTTCGTTTTTTAAAGTTCTATTATTCCAGAATCACTCGGGTTGGACATTTTTTAAAACTTTTCAGTAGAAAGAATATCATTAGATTTTATTGAGAGTTTTAATTAGGGATGCAAAATTCTCCGCAAGCGTGTGCTGAAATTATTTATTGATAGAAATGAAGGAACGTGTGGAATTTCAATGCTCTTATTAAATATTAAATAATTAATTTCAATGACTCTTTAAATATTTTAGAAACTCTTCAAGTATAATAAATATTATTACAGTGGCGGAAATGGCTACACGACTACTAGTTTCCTCTAAATATTTTTTATTGAACAAAAAATACGGAATTCTAATCATACGAGGTTTATCTACGTATAAAAACGGTTCCTACGATACGCTAAAAAAATAATTTTCTCAAAATATATGAAGAAATTATAAAATTTAGAAAAGCCTAGGGGAAATGGCTAAAAGACCAAGATATGTTTTTCCGTTTTTGGATCCAATACCCTCGTTTTAATAGGCAATCTTACCTCGTTTCGCCTTAAATTACCTCAATGCATTATCTACCCATGCTATTTACCAAATAATTCACAGTCTTTTGAGGAATTTTATCTCATGAACAAAGGATAGCCGTGCTCAGGTCACTCACAGATTGAAACTGGCGCTCATTTTGGTAAACATCCCTCGCCATGATGCCCCATAAGTTTTCAATGGGGTTGAGGTCAGGACAAAGCGCCGGCCACGGCAACAGAGTAATATTCTGCTCTAGGAACCACATGTTTGCTGACTTTGCAGTGTGAATCAAAGCACTGTCGTGCTGGAAAACTTGTGATCCCTCATGTTTCTCACGGGCAAAAGGGAGAAGATGGTGAAAAGACTCTGCTATAAGCCTCTGAATCTTGTATCCCACGTAAAATAGCTGGAGTTGACTTTCCATTTCGGCTAAACGCCCCCCCCCCAAACCATGACCGAACAACACCAGATTGCCACTTGGAAAAGAATTCAGGCTCACGGTCCACGTGGTGCCAATGGTGCCAATAGCATTGCCATCCACCTGGACCATCAAGATTGAACTTTTTCCATTATTGAAAATAATCTTGAGGTTACCAATAAGGTTACCAATAAGGTTACCAATAAGGTTACCTAGGTTACCAACAAGCACATTTTTTTCAACAAATTTTAGTCGGTTGAAAATATGCATTTGTTTAAGCATAGGGGCATCTTTCCGCTTCCTGTACTTGAATTTTTTCGAGTCATGCAATATCTGACTAATGCGTCGTGCTGGCACATCAACTACAGTGGCCAATTTTATAGAAGTAGATGTAGCGCAAGTTTTAGAAGCCTTTGAAAACAGTTGTCTAAGATCCCTGTCGGTTAATCTTGCGGTTGGTCCAGGGTGCTTTTTTCATCCGTAGACGTCCGGATTAGCAAAATTTGATGGTACAATGGGTTTTGAGCGTTTTATTCCCATTGCAATGTCCCGTTGGCTTCTACTGCATTTCACAAAGGCCAAAATCGGCGTCTACTCGGCCTCATGCAGTGAGTCGTGTCCCCTTTGGCATATTTTTTACTCCGAAAAAATATAGGTGAGAACACTGAACTACACCAGAAGTACACCAGAAGTACCCTAAATGGCGAAAATCAGAATATTCTTTATTTTACTGTACATTTTAAAGTGAAAATATTACAGAAAGATACTGAATAGAAAAAAACCAATCGTGGTCTTCAAACCATTTCCGCCTAGGTTTCTCTCATTTCATTATTTCTTCTCATACTTCTATACATTGAAAAAACTTTATTTCGCGTATCGTCGGAACGGTTTTTAAGCGTAGATAAACCTCGTATAATTAGAATTCCGTATTTTTTCTGCAAGAGAAAATATTTAGCTAAAACTGGGAGGTCGTAAAGCCATTTCCGCCACTGTAGATGATTAAATCAGTATATAGGACATAAAAGTCACCACGAGCGTTACTCTGCCTAAATTATTTAACAATATTAATTAATATGGGTGTAGAATTAAATCAGCAACGACTTTTTAATTTTTTATGAAACTTTCATTTGTCAACTTTTTCAATTTTTACATTGAAAATTTTCCTTTTTTCCAATTCAATAAAAACAATTAGATTATTATATCAGTATTTAGGATGCAAGAGTCACCACAAGCGTTATTTTCCTGGTACTATTTACGAATATAACTGAATTTGGTAGGGGTATTACCAGTATTTCACTTACTACTAGAGTTTTTTAATATAACTTGCCAGGGTTTGGTGGGAGAGTTGCGGTTCGAGTCACTGCGTCGACATGACGCGGGCAACTACACGTGTAGAGTGGACTTCCCGCAAGCACAGACCAGGATGTCGATGCTTACTTTAGACGTTCACGGTAAGATTATTAACGGTTTCACTTATTTAGCTATTAATTAATTAAGTATCTCAACTATTTTATTCTCTTTCTATTGAGTCGTGCTGTGTTGCTTCTGTGTGTGAACGAATAAAGAATAAAATGTTTTCGAATAAGAATAAAGAATACGGTAAGCGAGCTTTTTTTCGGTTAGTAAAATGGCCAGGAAATATTGTAATGTAATTATAAATAATTCTCATTTAAAGTCACAGCTATCGAAGTGACAGCTTAAAATTTTGAACAAGCAAATCAAATAAAATGATTGCCAACGTACGACTAACGAACTCGTTTTTGATTAAATAATTTATTCATGAGTGAGGTTTTTGTTGACAAAAAATCGCATGTTGTAATCCAATCGCGAGAGATTTACGTTAAGATCTTATTTTTGATACTTGCGTTGTATATTTGTTTACATTTTCTTCGTAGTAAGTCAGCGTATTTGCGGAGCTACGTTATTAGTGATACATAATCCTTCTTGCTCTCGGACACTCATCTTTCTTCCTTGTCTCAGAAGATACATAATGATGTGAACGTGATATTCTCGACTCCATGGTGCTAGTGCTGGTTATAAATAAAAGCTGTAGACTTAGTGCACAGAGCGGAAATTTGGTATAAACGGATAAGTATACTTTTTCTCGAATTTCAGAACATTCGATATTAAGTATTTTTTTGTGATGCTGATGAGCAGTAGAAATTTGTTGACCAAATGTGGGAGGCCCAATTTATCATTAACTTTATTTGGAAGCAAAAAATATATGTATATAGAATTATAGTAATAACAAACAAAAAATAACTATAATAATATCAAAGAAAAAGATTATATTTATTATATTTCCATAAAATGATAGTTATGATTTCGTTAATTTTTGCGTTTGCAGCATCAAAATATACATCTCGAATATTTAAATCTTATTATTAACTAAACATTGATCAACGTTATTTATTCTCCTCAAAATCCTTTATATTGAGCCCTCTAGTTATTTTCGTAGACTTTTATTAATACAATCTCAAATTTTTTATTAACCTATCTAAATATTTTTAGAACCCATAAAAAAGCTGGTAGTGCTGAATCTCATCGATGAAGAAATTCACGGTGTGTCAGGCCCGCATAAAGAGAACTCAGCGCTGCATCTCAGATGCCGAGCCTATGGAGGTGAGACTATAAACATTTGAAGTTTACCCCAACTTCGGCAGTTTACTGTTCCTCCTTATTTTTATACATTTGATGGTTTTCCAAGGCCGTTTAGCATGGTTATGAAGCGGTCTAAGCGCAGCAAAACTTACCCGACGAGCTCCGAAGCACATTGTTGATAGCTAAGGGAATTTAAAGTTACCCAATGCAGGAACTGTATTTAACAAATATAAACATGAAATTTGATTAATCAAAAAAGCTAGTCTCTTGTTTTTTAATTAATTTTCCGTGAATTAATTTAATAAGAATGGTGATACCCTGAAGCATTTTTATTCCTACTGCACTGAGCATCTGAACGACAAAATACCGGATCAAAATTGACTTTGTTTCAGTTCTGCATACAAAATTATAATAATAAAACTCATAAATAAAAATTTGTTATACAAATTATTTCCTCCCTCGAAAAATTGGCAATTCACGAATAACGATTCACGATTGAAATCTAATATAAAATATTGTGATCACTTTTCAATCCATGGTCCACGATGTTTGAACTGGTTGGAAATAATGAAAATGTGGCTGAAAGTTTTCAAAAGCTTTTAACGCGAATTTTTAGTGTAGCATTCAAATCCTTATCCTGAAACCATCAGCTCATTGAACTTCTTTTTTCGTGCCAGGACACCCGGTGCCCACAATACAATGGACCGATGTCACGCGAGACTCGTCTGAATTATTTCCCGACTACACATACACTGGACAATCTGACGAGCCTCCCGAGACGAAGTTGAGCAGCGTATCTTATGACGACGTGACTCTCCCTGGAGCCTTGAGTCGTTTTTCCACAAGTTCTTACGCCGGCGAAGACCACAGCGACAGCGTCTTGCAGATTGATGCTCTAGGGCCGTGGGATCACGGTAGAAAGTTGCAATGCCAGGCGAGCAACAGCCATCTTATGGAAGCTGTCTCCGTCGCAGTCACACTTGATGTCTTCTGTAAGTACAAGTCGTTTTGAGTGCAGCTTGTGAATAATCTGTGAAAAATTATGTTTCTCTGTAGGTGAATGCGGGAACTGGCTTCTTCTTATTTATTTTTCTTATTAGTTACTTGCTTAGTTGGGTTGAGAAGTGCAGGAAATACTTTATATCCTATAAGGTATTCTAATGGTCATATATTGAGTTCATTTACGATCAAAAGGATTTGTATCGTTGCAATCAAAGATTATCCAAAGAAAATGTAACTTATTTCAAGTAATTTTTAAAAATTACTTTGCGTAATTTTTAGATAAGGAATTTTTTCTAGATATGGAATCTAGAATTGCACTATATCTCATATCTCTTACGCTGCGTGAATTATGTCTGAATATTCATTATAGGTAAAAAGCCTGTAATGTTAAAAATGAAGGAACATGATCTTCGTATTTCGAGCGAACATGTCTTGTAGCTCTCGAGACACAGTAACATGTCGCCATGGGACTGAAATACAACGGTGTCATTCACTGCGCAAACTTGTGTCTCTCTGACAAACTTATAGCAAAAGTTTCATAGCATGTTTTTATTTTCATTTTTTATCTTAACGGGTGTGAATTTTCGCTTTCGTTTGTATCTGTCTTATTTGTTTTTCAAATTCGAAAAATTTATAAAACTTTCGATTACCGATTAGTTTGAATTCAATTGCTCTTACAAAAAATATAATTTTAGCGTTGCTTTTCAGTAAATAATCTTCAGATGAAAACTATTAATTGTTAAGAACCATCCTGACGTGAGGCGGGTGGGAAACAACCGAGTCCTCATAAAACGGATAAGGATAAAAAAATAACTGCTGATATAAAAGGGAAGATATTCCAAGAAAATTCATTACATTTCCATTGAAAACTTTTACGAGTTGAATTACAGCTAATTAAGTTGCAAAAGACTGAATTCATGCGGGAAAGATTGAAACCCAACTATGGGAGGCCATGCTTCTGCATTCGCTTTTGGGCACAGGAACTTCACAAAGCGCCCAGCAAAATGAGGTGGTGGCGAAAGTAGGCTACTAGTACGATTACTCATTGCTCGGTGTTCCGCCAATCTGATGTATAATTTACGTGACGTCATACCGACGTATGCTGATGCGCACTGCGCCCACCTCAGCGCATATGGACTCCTCCTCAGATTCTTTAGATTTGAGGATTCGGAAATGATAGCATCATCTTAAAGAAAACTGTCTGAATACTACTCAAGGTTAATTTGTGAATGCAATTGTCAAACAATATTTTTTTCATTTATTCAGCCATTTTACTTATCAATTCAGATTCTAATCTCTGCTGTTTAAGCAGTTTATTGTTCTATAGTTCAAACCTCTGTTCCCGGAGTCCTTGAACTGAATTTTGATCTGTTATAGAAACGCTTTTAAAAAAAATATCTGATTTTTTTTCATTATCTCTGCTTTCGATTTTTTATTGCAATTCAAAAGCTTAACAATTCCATTATATCGTACATTAATTGCGGTCTGAAAATAAAAGTAAGTGGGTAAGTTTGACGATACAATCGCACGTATCAGTGACACAAATATGAGTTGCTCAGGGCAAATATTCGAATTCACTCTGTGACCGGACGTTCACTACCTTAGCTTCAACGGATGGCCGCCCAAGGTTGCACGCTGGCCACGAACTTAGTAAAAAGCTAGTTTTAAATAATCGATAATGAAGACTTCCCAGTTCACCACTGAAGTTTCAAACACGTTTATTTCAATAGAAATGAGCCCTTTAAAATGGGCACTCTACAGTTACGGTTACAGTTAGGAGCAGCACAGACACTGGCAAATAATTAATCAGCTTAATCAGGGAGAGGGCTCACTGCAAGACAACAAGCTTTATGCCAGATCGGCAGTTACTAGTTACCGCTATGAAGGTCGGAGCAGCAACTTAAACGATCGGCTAGCAGGACACAACTCCCGTCTCATATAATAGGAATCGCCCTCGTCACCTCTCTTTGAGACCGATCTTCCCTGAAGGGGTCGGAAGTCTAAGTTGCTTAACCGGCTTCGCTAAAAAACCCATACATGTAGTATAATTTATCACCTAGCTTAAACAAATTGAAATGAGTAAAAAATGCCTGTAAATACCATGAACGATTCTCATTCGTTCACAACTCCGTTTATGGAGATGTCTGTGGTCGAAAATGAGCCAATGAAAGTAAATTAGGAAGTTTAACGCGCTCCATTGCAAACCAGCACGTGAATGATTGATTGAATCGCTGTCAAAAATAATGTGAAATTACTAAATACTTGGTAGTAACATTATAATTACGATAATTTTGTTTACGATGAAAATTTATTTGAGAAGTTGGGATTTAATGACAGGTTTTATTTGTTTCGGATCTATACCATATTTTACTCGCATGTGTGCAGGTAACGAGTTACGGGTCTTGATGCATTAGTATTATCAATTATATTCATTTAACAATCGCAATCCTTGAATACGAAGTTACAGCATTTATTTCAAATGAACCGTCCCCTCTGCGATGTTGATAAGAACTAAAATGAATGAATGGCGGCTAATGAAAGTTTAGGCCGCCAAAACCATCCATGCTTTCTCAGATAAAAATGGTTATGCTCAGCTGGAAATTTCCTGAACTCGAAGGGAAAGAGCGTACTTCCCGCAGGGATTCAAGTCTTTTTGTGATGATAATGAGGCCTAATTAACGGTTTTCTTTGTAAGCTGTTCGAGCTTCACATTAAAACTTTTATCGCATTAAACTCAATCCTTAACACAATCATTATTAATATAATGTTAATATTAAGCATCTGTACATTCGTTTTTCTAATCGTTATTAGCTAAATTAAGCGAAAGAAATCAATGTACATTTTGCAGTATGACTGAAAATATAAAAAATTTTGATCTAAAATATTATGAATTCGAGTGTATTCTCCTTTGATTCTGAGGAATGTTTATATTTATCAAATGTGTCTCATCTCTGAGGTCATCCTTCACGCGTAATTATCATCAGTCTCCTTATGAATCAAAGCATCAAAATCTTTACAAGTTTACAAATTGATTTTTCAATAAAATAATCGCGAAAAGGCATCTGCGTATATATGAATCCGTTTTCATCACACTATCCCGATGAGTACACAGATCGCGTTCCTTTTCATCGAGAATCGTGGTTGACGCTGAGCAGTTACAATTCAACATTCATGAGTTGAATCCATGGTCATAGAGTTGCATGTATTCAGCCTTATACCCCAATTGCTAAGAAAGTCGATGCTGCAAAAATCCATTATTCGAGAATAATTAGGTATCAATAACAATCAAGAATCAAGTGGCAGAAACTTATGATTTATAGACTTCGAGATTTTGAATTTTTATAATCCTATTTTAGAACAGATGAATTGTTTAACTTCTTCGTTCTAACTACACTAATTGTAATTACGCTTATTGTAATCCCTGTCAGCAGACTACATACTGTAGCTTAGTTGTAAGACAAAATAAATATGCTATGAGGCAGCTTGAAAATCCCTGCAAACTGTAAATCCCTGCAAATTTCAAAAGTTTACTTATAGTATTCATCATCGACGAGTTAACTTTCTATCGTAAAAATGGATTATTACGTGAAACCTATGAAAAAACGCAAAATGAAAATCCCACGCTCATTGAACACCAAGCCAAAAACATGTCCACACTGAAAAAAATAATTCAAGCATTAATATTTCTCATCACTAATAATGGTAAATCATATATGATTACAGATGGCCCAGCAAGCGTAAAAATCGAGGGTCTCGACCTTCCTTTGGACGAGACGAAGGAATCCGTTATCGAGTGTCAGGCCGCGCAGTCTCGGCCCAGTCCTCGAATATCCTGGCAGCCTGAAAGTCTTTTCGTCAGCACAGGGCCCGCTGTGAGTCTCATATTGATCTTCGATGCCCTTTCTGTGGGCTGACACTTCCATCCTATGTTCTTTATTGGCCATTTTCCATCTATTTTTCTGACTTATGCTACGCGGGGGTTATTATTTCGGAAATATTGCGCAATTTTAGCTTTAATTATTATTATCTACATAATTAACAGGTTAACGAATGGGGATTAATTTATTAAGAGTGTATTTCCAGAATTTCCGTTAAATAGATGATGACTTTGAATACTTTTAAAGCACCATTGTCATGGCTGTAACCGTCGTAAATATAACTGTAGGCTGTAAACTATATGTTGAAAAGATTTTCGTCAAACGGTTTCATATAACTCAACATTATTCAGAGTTTTGAGAAATAGAATAAACAAGTATGATAGGGATTACAAAATATGTATGAAGCTTTGGTTCATGGTATTTGCTGTCTTAAAAAGGCGACTATCATTTAATAACATCTATGTTTAATTGTTTAATAAATAATTAAAATCATAGGCCATAACTGATTTAATGATTGTTCTTCGCAGATGATGCTATTGAAGTAACATTCTAACGTTTTGCTCACGCTAAAGAGATTTGCTAATTGTTGCATAGAAAAAAATGTTGAATGCCGAGAGCGAAGATTTAAAACGGCTTATTCTATTTATGAAATGTTTTATTCAGTGCAATATTCAAATCTTCTAATAGTAAGAAATATTTTAAAAAGTTTACAGAGAAATTGAAAATATATTTAAAAATAAAGAGATGTTGTATATCAGTCTAAAGAATTTTTAATGCTGAATTTTCTAATAACAAGAAAAAACATGTAAATGCTGAAAATAATGACCGATCTTCTACACAACATGGATGATCTCAAGACTTCTTCTCTCGTCTCATTTGAACTTCTGCCGGGTGCAAATAAATCTATCTAACAATACTCTTGTTATTCACAAAATTCTCATGACAAGTTGTCACGAACCGATCACCTAGCATCAGGGAACTTAATAGCTGTGTGAGAAAGTTGGGCCTTACTCTATACCCACTTATTTATGAAAGGTTCACCGTTACGTAATTGAAAACTTTCTGATTTCCATGGCCGTTCGTCATGTTTTACCGACTGATCTTCATGGATTGCCGGCTGATTTTCGTGCGCTACCGATTGTTCTCTATGTATTGCTTGCTGATCTTCATGCATTGCCGGCTGATCTTCATGCATTGCCGGCTGATCTTCATGCATTGCCGGCTGATCTTCATGCATTGCCGGCTGATCTTCATGCATTGCCGGCTGATCTTCGTGCATTGCCGGCTGATCTTCATTGATCTTCATGCATTGCCGGCTGATCTTCATGCATTGCCGGCTGATCTTCATGCATTGCCGGCTGATCTTCGTGCATTGCCGGCTGATCTTCGTGCGTTGCCGGCTGATCTTCGTGCGTTGCCGGCTGATCTTCGTGCATTGCCGGCTGATCTTCATGCATTGCCGGCTGATCTTCATGCATGGAGAGTTAAGACCATAATTCATCTCGAATAATCAACCACCCCAGGATGTCTTGATTGCATTGGCCCTCATTTCCTTTGACGTCGAGCTCATAAAATAGATGAAATATTTCTCAGAGTCCAACAACTTCTCAATAAATTCGACTGGAACTTAGGCATCAAAAATACATCGCTTCAATGATTTGTTGATCGCACATGACGCTCCGTTCGGGCGGGTTAAGCTAGTTTTAAGAAGTGAAGAAGTATTTTTTATCTCGCTCTTCAGAAGTTGTCAAGTCATCGAAAAATCTCACTTATTTGCGAAACTCTTAGTATTGATTGAATCGCACAGGAATTTGGAAAAATATTGGCTTTGAAATTACCAAAACTTGGCGTTCTGAAGATTTCTAACGATCACAAGGCAGTGTTAAATAAAATCAATGTTTTTAAAAAATCTAACATTGGATTACTTCAACTTTTGATATTTTTCAGGATTGAAAAAATTGGGTAAATAAGTTCATTGAAGAAAACTTTTTCAACGTGAATGAAATGCTCTGATAGACGCTAGTATTCAACATTGTTAATCTGAATAAATCGTGTATCTTTACATGCCTTTGCTTAATTGAATTTATACCTGTGCTGTTTGAATTTAATAAATAAATTGCTCTAATGCATGTAAAAGGACGGGATATGTTCGCTTGAAGCAACAAATTGTTATCCACCATCTGAACATTTGTTTCACGCCGAAAACGTTTTATTACAGAAGACTGGTTTACAAAGTTGAAACCACAGTGAGGAACTCCCCCACGTTCCATAACCTCCATCGTCATCACCCGTGCGATTTCGTTGGTTCGATGGGTGAACTTATGTTCTTGAGTGATTACTCGGCCTGAGTGGGGGTCTAGAAGTTTCCGTATCGGCAAGTCTTTCGACAAAGATCGATCCGTCTTTCTAAGCTTCCTTACCTCTTTTTCCTCACGACCACATGCAGCAAAAGCGCTCCGGTAACAGGACCGTCTCGAGGGCCCGACTAGCGGCCTCCTGGAAGGATGACGGTATCAATGTTACATGCACGGCTTCCAATCCTTCAGTGCCACGCAACGTGAAATCCACATCAGCAACTCTCCACGTCCGATGTGAGTATTGCCTTGGCTTACACGACTTAGAATATTTCAGAGTTCCAGAAAGAATTGAAATTTCTATGGGAATTGTCAGGGTTCCGGTTCCACACGTGAATTTTCTGAAAGGACTGGAATGATCCAGGATAAAAGAACATGAGTGGATTTTTGTAAAAAGTTTACCCCGACTTCGGGTAAGCTCCAAAAACAATTTTTCGCTCTTTTTGTTTGCAATGGAAGTTTTATTGTAATCTACATTTATCAGAAAATATGTCACTCGAAAAACTTGGGGCAAAAATTTCAATGAAAAGTATTCGAGAGGAATTCTAACATACCCGCTGTATCTGTAAGTCAAAATTAATTGAATTAAAACCGGAATGAAAATTAACACCCGAGATATATATAGCGCACATATAACAATAAAAATTTCTTGGGTCGTAACCAGGCGATTTCATAATTACGTAGTAACTCAGCTTACTGCATAATCGAGAATCCGGTGTTGAGTTTGATAAAGTTAAACATGTAAGAAAATACTTTTACGATATATACGAGTTAGTTGAATTTACTTACAATGTGCACATGTTCAGAGATCATTTAAAGTATAGCCACTTAAATCTATTTACAGCGCGTTAGACTCATCTTAATGCAAACATTACCTTGGAATCCATTAAGCCTCGTAAGGGATCAACCTGCTTCAATATTAACAATTTTATATTGCCTGTAATTACATAGCGAAATCTGCTGGTGAAATTCGATTAGCCGCACTCAGCTGCAGAAACAAGGCTCTTACTTTAATTACAAGGCTTTATTAGGATCGCGTTTTTTATTCAGAATGATTTATTTTATGTCTCGTAATAGGGTTTGAATGGATATGAATGTTTTTTTTGGTCGAAGCTAGTATTACGTATGGTACATATACATATGTACTATAATAATATAGCATTACATGGTATATACGTAATACTATATATACATATATATAGCATATATAATACTGGTATACATATGTAATAAAGTACATATAGTACAGTAGTATAGTACGTATTTTCATGAGATTACCTAATGAAAAGCCAAGTTTTTTTTCAATTACGTATACATTGCATAACTTCTTATGAAAATCAATAATTTTTCAATTTTTCTTCAATTGTAAGTTTTCGATTTACTATATTTTAGCTTAAAATGTTAAAGCCAAATTGAGAATATTCTCTTAACATGTGTTACCAATGCTGTGCAGTGGGAATGGCAATCAAAATTATTAAGTGGAAATAAACAACTATCCCAATCTCAGGTCAACCATAGCTGTTTCCAGTAAACCAGGCTGAGTGTCGATAATATTGTTCCGTGAACCTCATAAAGTGGCATGATATTATAATATTCGCAAATTGCGGTCATAGAGGCAGTTGAGAACCACGGCCCAATTATCCATTACGACAGTTATTTTGCTAGTAGGCGTATGAGTCCGTAGAAAAGTGATATCACCCTCGCCTATACTTTTGTAGCTTCTGCGATTATATGTATGACAAAATAGCGTCTTGCTGCACTGCAATAAATATGAAAGATTTCCTCACGAAAAGCCAGGTTTCTTAATTGATACTTCACAACGTATAGGTTAGAAAATCATCACCTTAAAAATGTATCGTAAAAAAACTGTCCTGACAGTTTTTCCAGCCTTATTGCAAAAGTTTTCTTTTATTCCGTTCTCTTTTCGGGAACCTGTAATTGAAATTCGAGAAAAGAGTTAACCTAAATTGTGCATTCAATTGCTCAACTTTATGGGCATTTAGTCCGATTCGCGAGAGCGAGTTTGCTCACGCTATGTATTGTGCAATTCCCAAGCAAGTAATTGCCACTTTACAGTGTCTCATCAGTATACTACTTTTCGTAAAACATTTTGCCGCTCCCTTTCAAAAGTACACAGAGCGGAGGATTCCTGGGCTCTCTGCTGGATGTCGCTCAAAAGCAAACAAGCCGAGAGGGGTTTCGGAATATCTTTCAGGGTCTGCTACTTCTACGTCAAGTGACATCAAGGACGCTTAAAATGCATGAAAGTTGCTCGTGCCGTTGGGAGAAATTGAACCTGGGCTTGATCAACGTTACGATGTTGTGTAGGGGTTAGCTGGGACAACAAACAAGTGTTTTCCAGCAAGGCACTCGAACGATTCTTACCTGAGACGCCAAATCTAAAATTCGTTGCATCGCTCTGAACGGCTTTAGTAGAGAACGAAAAATTTTGATTTGATGGCCGCTCGACCCAGGCCAACTTCATCACAGGGGAGTGAAATGCGCGTTTTAAAAGCGAATGCTTATTAATGTGAAGTTCTTTCCATACCTTTTAGGAAAATATTCGCTTAAACATATCAAACATATCCCATTTCAAAATAAAGTAGATGGAATTATCTCACTTAAAACAAATAAAAAACGTTCAGCTTTGCTCATATCTTAGCTAAGTTTATTCTTCAGTAAGATGATTTTTGAAAGAAGATTAGATTTTTATTCGGTACAAATTTTATAGAATGTCTGTATTTCTTACGTTAGGTTTGACCGACTTCACCGTCCAGCCTGCTATAGCGGCAATAAAAAGTTCGGACTGCAGGACGGAATCTAAATAGGTTTTTGTATTTGCCTCAGTCGCACCGAGGGTGGCAGCCGTGCTTGCTCCCACCATCGACCGCAGCAACATCAAGGAAGGAGATGACGTTTACTTCGAGTGCAATGTACAAGCCAACCCACCTCCTAAATCCATCACCTGGCTGCATAACGTGAGATTTTAATATATAGTTCTGGTGTGATTATGTTTGCTTGTAGCACTGATGCAGCAGGGTAATCGTGAGTAATTTCGTTACTCCTTCATGATAATGACTTTTCCAGTGTAAAGCTGAGGAGAATCAGCTTGAATTTGAATTTATAAGCTAACATAATTACATGAAATATTTTCGAGCTAAAATCGTAGCTCTACTGAAGCAAGGATTTTAAAGCCCCATATGCTTACACAAAAGAGATTGTAGAATATTGAAATTATTTATTCTAACTGTAAAGCGACATCTAAAACTTTCAGCTGTTATTTTTCCTCTAATTTGGTGCAAATTCTCTAATATCTGCATGTTATTTTGGGAAAAGAATACGCAACTAACAGAAATAATATGTTTAAGCAGAAATACATAAATGAAATTAATGGCTAACGTTTGTTCGTAACGAAAAAATATGACTATAGTTCGTCAGGTATACACTTAATTTGAATTATTATTCGTTTCAAGCAGTCCAACTTGACATTGAACAATTAATTTGCTCCTTAATTATAGTTGTCCAAATCAACTTGCTAAATTTTAGCATACATATTCGTCGGTAGTAAATCAGACCAGTATTCTGCCTGGTTCATGATTTTATGCACGTACAGTATGTTGTCAATTTCAGAACTTATGCATGACCGCAGCATGAGAATGAACGCCTATTTATTATATTAGGTACCTCAGACAATTGGAATATGGAATCCAATTAAGTGTAACTCAAAATGACAATGGGTTTAGTGCTATAGCAAGCGATATGAATGCAATTTCTGAGGACGCCTTCGTTTACAGTACACACGAAAACTCAAGTAATGGTAATAATGGAGTCTAAGCTGTACTTTTACCTTTTTACTGTGTACGCTTGATCTGAAAAAAATTATTATATGTAATAATGTCACCAATTCAATGAAAATGAAACTTTTCTTAACTAGTCCTAAACCATAAAGTATTTCGCGAATACATGCATTGCTTATTTCATGTTGTATTCTCCTCAAGGCGACCACCTTGTTACCATTTTCAACACACCCAAACTCTGGCGTATAAATTTATATAGATTTTTGCGGCTTTAATAGAATTTTTTGTATTATATACCATATGGTCGACATGTTCCGTTTATTTCCGTTACAAAAATGTACAGTTTTGAAGTGCCGAAATTTTTGAAGTTCATTCGATTAGACTGATTTTTTTGCGATTGACATTCAACGGCTCTATTGGCATAGATTGATGACTTGAGTGGCATTTTGCCGGAGTAACTTGTCGAAACTGCTTGGCTCTTGAGGTTTTTTGCATAGTCAGCTCGTTAATCTCTCAGTGCTTTTTGGAACCCATCGGAACCTCTTTCTTTTGCGGATCATTTTTAATCCGACCTGATGAAGAAGGGAAATTGAATTTCGTTTCAAAAGAATTTAAATCCGGTCAACAGATGAAATAAAGGCGATAATTTTGCATGATTATGCATGAGGTCACACAACTTTAAAGGTGCTGTGATGCTTGCCCACAAAATTAAAAGCAATAAGAAACTGTAGTTAGCTTCGCTCAAATTATATTAATATTGAATGACGCATCAAAATTATTTCAGTAGACAAATACGCCTTTTCAGCTTTTTATGAAATAAAAACTTTTTTGATAAATTTCGCCGGATGGATAGCGGTATTGCAATTTATATTTTTAATATGTTTTTTTACCATAAAACTACAGAAAAATTCCAGAAATCTTTTTCAGAAGAATGTCGTGACTCATAAATTATTTTAGTAATCAGCAGATTGACATTTCGCTGACCTGCAAACATTTTCCATCTTGTCATCCTAAATTCTGTCATATCAAATACCACCACCCTGAATTCTGTCTCAAGTTGACAATTTAGAAGCTAAAAACTGTATTTAAATTATGCTCCGTAACAATCAACGTTTTGAACGAAAAACCCTTAAAGCTCCTTGATAGAAATTCGAACCAAATTTATTCATTTCTTATTCAACCAATTTGAACGTACGTACACATTACGATCATAATTAAATTTTGAAAATCACCCGTCTATTTTCCTGTCTTTAAAAGTCGTACGATTCACCCACAAAAAATAACATTTAATAACCGCGTTATATACTTAAACACAACAAGGAGCGTGGATACGTGCTGGAACAACACTATATGTTTACAGTGCCTGCCTCCGAACAAACACATGTGGAATAAAATGAGAGCTTTTTTGGAATAAAATGAGAGCAATTTTGGAAGAAAATGAGAGTTTTTGGAATAAAATGGGAGCTTTTTTGAATAAAGATTTTCTGAAATAAAATGAAAGCTTTTTAGGATAAAACAAGAGCTGTTTGAATTAGAATGAGAGCTTTTTTGAAATATAATAAAAGCATTTTTGTAATGAAATTAGAGCTTTTTGTAATAAAATGATAGCTTTTTGGAATAAAATCAGAGCTTTTTAGGAATAAAAAACTTTTTGAAATAAAATGGGAGCTCTTTTGAAATATGATACGATCTGTTTTGCTATGAAACGTGGGTTTTCACCGAGGTAATAAATCCTAATTTGCTCATGACCTCAGGACACGCAGTTGGTGGCAGGTGAATGGAGCGGAGGGTTGGCGCTACTGCACGGACCAAGTCTGGTGCTGCAGCGGCTCACTAGACTGGCTGAAGGGCCTTACAAGTGCAGGGCTGAAAATGAACTCGGCGAGAGTACTTCTGAAGCTGCGCTCCTCAAAGTCATGTGTCAGTCAATAAAATAGAGTTATTAAGTCCTCTCATGGATATAATATATTTTTGTTTATTAGAAAATAAAATTAGAATACTTTGTGCTAGCGAGTTTTCCATGCGGCATTTCCCTCCTTAAATTATTTCAATGGCTAATTAAATATTTCTTAGAGTATTTTGAAGTCACTATTTAAAATGTTAAGTTTCAAAATAGTAATTTCTTTCGGGGATTATACTAAAATAATAGTTCTAAAACACAATAACTTTTTCTCGATGCTGCGATGAACTAATAATATGCTTCTTCATAATCAATGAGCTAAAAAGTTTCTATATCATAATGTTTTATTAAACATTATCGCATCTCAAGTATGTCATTCTGATGAACAAAAATAATGGTTAGATACGACAAATTTTGTGAGATTTATTGATGAACTTCGATTAGCCTGTGTTGTTGAATAAAATATGCCTAAAGATATGCTTAATATGAACTAAAAAATATTCGATAAAATTGAAACTGACAGGGAAATTAATTTGATATTCATTCAGTTATAGGCAAGTTCAAAATAAAATATCGCAAATAAAATTAAACTTCGCTGCGGTAAATTCCTTTTTCTTTTAATTTACAATGAAATTACGTTTTTGACTAGTTCAATAATCAACCAAATGAATGCATTGCTTAGTTTCTACGGAATTTAAAGCACCAAGAAACTAAAAGCAGAGAAAATGCATTAAAAATTCATAAGCTTTTATCGTTGAACAAGTTTCGATGACCAGCTCCATTATTTGTTCAAAATTTGAATTTTGTTCGATAAAAAGTATAAATTTAAACTAAAGGAAGATTCAATAACTAGAAAGCTGTGACACAGAAACACTACCTATTAACAATTTTAAGAAGACAAGAAGCAAGGTGTACTTAAAACAAGTTACTCGCTTGAAAATATACAGAAATTTAAAAATTCTTGAGTCAGAAGTACGACAGAGGAACGCTTAATAAATTTAATCGGTACGTTGTTCGGAATATCCCCGAAACGGGCTCTGGTCTTCAAATGCTGTCAATTAAAAGACAAAAATTTTTCTCGTTATTTTTTTATTTTGAATAACTGATCAACGAACGACTAAAAAGCAAAAGTAATGTCTGGGAATCATTCCTCATCATGCGAAAATGACAGGTGCAGACATGAAAAATTGCTTTATTTATATCTCTCAATTTTGATAACACAAATGTTATTTTTATTCCCAACGCACTAGCTATCAAGAATATATTTTCCCTTAAATGCTCTCCTTATTTATGTTATAAATTTTCCTTATCAGCTTCATTCCCAAAATTCATGAAAAAAGTACGAAATATTTCGATAAATTTGTGATTAAGATATATGAAATGTGTCAATTAGATATATTAAATATGCGAATAAGTCATATATCAATGTAATTTATATCGGAGATATTATTTAGCCCAAAGAAACGTGTGTGTAGATTTACTGATCTTAATTCAATTGTATTTTTAACTTTATGGCAGATCCCCCTGAATGTGAGCGGTCTGATGCGAGCGTCGTATCTGCTCTACCAGACGAAGCCATCGAGCTGCCGTGCAGAGTGAAGTCTCCAACTAGCGAGGCAAGTATGAATTATAATTATTAATTAATAATTAATAATTACATACTATTACTGATTGATGTAATTAATAATTAATAATTACATCAATCAGTAATAGTAATGGAAGATATGTGCAAGAATTTACAATTGCTTAAATTCTACGTTTCAAACGTACTACATTACAGGTGCTAAACAGAATTGTTCTGATTAGCCATTATTGAATTTGATTGCAACGACGTTTATATTATGGTCAATTGCCATCATTTTACTATCAAACGGTTCAAAAAAGTTTATTGACGAACTTATCATAACTGGGTTCTCAGAAAATGAGAAATAATAATTTAAAGCAAATCATATATTTTGGTCGGAAGCAGCGACTAATGCAGCTGATATTTCTAAATTTTAGAAGTTGGAATATGAACTATGAACATCAATTGCACCAGCATAGTTGCACCGGAAACTTTTTCCTCTGTTCTGTTGTTCCCTGCATCGTAGTATTCAAATTGATTTAGTATTCAATCTTGTATTTATTTTTACACATGGAATTATTAAAATTGTTTCTGCACTATTTATGTTTTTTGAGCCGAATTAGAAAGTTTTTAGTTATTTCATTTGGGATGCCGTGAAAGGTTCAATGTCCTAAATTTCGAAAAATATGGATATTGGAGTGCTTCCTTAGTAATTAATAGTAAATAAAATTTGATTACCCAAGACCTATTAAATTTGTTTAAACATCATTGCTTATGTCAACAGCGAACGTGTCCAACAGAGCCTTTGAAAACCAACGAAGTGTTTGTCAGATCAATAGGCCTGCCTTGCATGTAATGCAGTTCTTGCAGTGCAGTGCTTGCAGTACAGAGTCACAGCCAATGATTTAATTAATGTAATTTGATTTAATTAATGTAATTTGATTTAATTAATGTAACTTGATTTAATTAATGTAGTTTAATTTAATTAATGTAATTTGATTTAATTAATGTAATTTGATTTAATAATTTTATTAATGTAATTTGATTTACTTAATGTAATGCTAATTACGAGATTGTCGTCGAACTGAGGATCATCAGCCGCATTAACAAGGGAGGTAATGATGAACAGGTTGCAGGAAAAATGAAAAGAAAATAAAGTATTATTCATTTAATGGAATTATTTTAACTAGGAAAACGCAATAATATTGATCAATTATGATGGCTTTAGTTTTGTAAGAACGTTGAGTTAATCTGGAATGATAAAGTTCTGAATTTAGTTGATTTAAGCAACTCTGTGATTTTATTATAATTGTGATGATTACTAAATACTTAAAAAATTTTTTTTTTGAACCAATACACGTTGCTTCACGAGAATGTGAGAGAACGAGAAGCAACGTTGAATGATTGAATGGGAACCTTTCACGTTGCGCAAAATGAATGCTACATCTTAACAATAATTCCATTATCGGTTCAACATTTTACTTGCAAGAATCGGACCTATATAAAAAAATATAAGTCAGTACTCACTGTAGTGAGTGACAGAGAGCGCATTTTCTCGTCGGCGAAAACATGAAGTCACGGACGGACAGACAGACGGACAGACAGACGGACAAACAGACAGACGGACGGACAGACGGACATGGCGAGCACAATAGTGCATTTTTTCATAAATGAGAAAATGCGCTACAAATATATACAGTAAATGTAAAATCACTTGCCTAATAAACTACTTTTTATTTCTCGCCACACTAATTTTATTTCCATTAGGCCAGCACGCAATTCGTTTATGATACGCGAGCTGCAATTATTTTCACAGCAGCGAGACCATCAGTGACAGCCTGCCGTGTAACCCGAGTACTTGATTGTTGGTGCGATGGTTGTAATTTTAGTGCATGAGTTTTTACTTAGTTTCGTATATACGGATAGCATTGAAAAATTTCGTAATTTTTGTAGCAGTTTTGTTTGAAAAAGCAGTACGTTTTGAAAAAAACGTGGGTGCGATGGTTGTAATTTTAGTGCTTGAGTTTTTTACTTAGTTCCCTCTATCCGGATAAAATGGAAAATATATCCGGATAGCATTAAAAACGTTCGGAATTTTTTGTAGCAGTTTTGTTTTCAACATATCTTGCAGAGAAAACGTGCCAAAAAAGTTTTAGAACGGGAAGAGCGTAGTAAACGGTGGACGAGTTTTTAGCTCATTTTCTCATTTATGGACGAAATGCACAATTGTGCTCGCCATGTCCGTCTGTCCGTCCGTCCGTCAGTCCGTCTGTCCGTTCGTCCTCCCGTGACTTCACGTTTTCGTCGACGAGAAAAAATGCGCTCTCTGTCTCTCGCTACAGTGAGTACTGAGTTATATTTTTTAGTTCTACAAAAGACAAGTTTTCCAGCGTTTGAATTAGGCTTGCGTGGGCAGTGAATTTTTTTTCTGATTTAGAATTTTCCAACCGTTTACCGTTGATTCTGATTCAACAGTCAGACATATTCTGCACAATTTCAGATGTATCGAAAGTTTGCGTTGCAACATGCTTAATATGGATTATGGAGTCATTTGCTGTAATTGGCTTGGTTTGTTATAAAGAAAACTGTACTCTATTTATATAGTAGCATCGTCATTCGTTAGTTGTTAGACTTTAATTTTACTGAGTAATGCTCTGAAAGTTTTTATCTGCTACTAATTAATAATTGTTAATTCTTCTCGGAGCCAATGGGATTGTTACAAAAAATCGGTAAAACAATGACTCCAGTTTTAATCCCCTCAATCCAGTAAGCATTAAAAAATCTCTGATTCACATGAAGAATCAATCTCATTTACATGGCTATACAAAAATTCAAACTACGCATGGTAAACATACTATAACTGTTTTCAGTAAATTGTTCATTGGGTGCGCTGTAACACTTATATCAGGATGATAACACCGGTGTGTATGTTTGCTAAGACGCACAATGTTCGGTATTCGCATTTTCTTAAATGCAAATAAATATATTGAATCTTATTTATCTGCTCCAATAGTTTTTTATCTGCTCCAATAGTTGAATCTGCTCCAATCTTTTTTTAAATCATCGTTATTTTTAATTGAATGAATTTTATTGTTCTCTTTGTATTTGAACACAATCTCATTACTGAGAGCGTCCATTCAGATGTATTAAGTGAACTAATTGATTCCAGCTGCAGAGTCAGCTCATTAATTCGGTGCTACATAGCGCCATTGAGACGAACCTAATTCCAGATGTTAGCTCTTATGTTAACCCATGTTAACTAATTCAGCAACCCAGGAATTAAAATTTCAGTTATTATTAATCATATTTGTTCCAGTCTCAAATCAATATGGTGGTTCCTAGGTAACCTTTTAAAGTTTCAAATCGATTTGCATGCGGTATTAATTTCCCATTCTTTTCATTGCCACAGTGACACTACCTGACACTATCTGGGCTTTAACAACACAACCAAGACAAATTTTCAAAAAATTATTTACGCAATTAACGTAAATTTTACCATTGATCTCAGTTATGTGTCAGTAAATGGAGACAATGGTAGAATTACATAACTCATACGATGTTTTTATTCAAGCTGTAATTTATTTAGAGTCCACTTCTTCTACAAATGCTTGAAATGATTTATCGCTTATCCAATGTTCTTCACTCATCGCAGGTATCCTTCCATTGGTCAGTCAACACATCCCGGGGGCTTTCTGAACTGGACACCTCGCTCTACACTCTGGAGGATACGTTAAGCACTTTAAGCTTCGTACCTCAGGACTACGAACCCATATTGCTGAAGGCAGCAAAAGACGGAAAGTCATCCGGAGCAAGCCGCTATAAAGACTTGAGAACACCTACGGGCGAAGAGGTTTTTGGAGTGGTCTATTGCAGGGCATCTAGTAAATTCGGCGAGCAGAAGCGACCGTGTACCTTTGTAGTCAAACCTGCTGGTGAGAAAATTGCAAAACCGGTCGGGCTAAATTGATTAGACTCTTTGGGCAGATTTTTCATAAAAGTTGTTAATCGACTTTAATTGTTAGGAGCTGAGAGTGTGAAGTGGCCAGGCAGAAGTTAATATACTTTATCTAAATTTATCATTACTGTTAATAATAGTTATTTCTGACTTATTATTTCTTGAATTTTACTCGTTAAAGCCATGATAATATATTGCAATATCTGACTGAGATTTACTGTGCTTATTTTTCTTCAAAAATTTTTTACCATAAATGCACCTAATGAAAATCTTAAAACTCTCTAATATACAGCATTCACGGAAAATTATTTAATTTATGATTTTAAAGCTTCCTGCTTGTAGCTCGCAACATTCGCCATGTATTTCGCGTTGAAATATTCGGGCTTATTCGCAGGGCCCCCAGAGGAGTTGCTGTCGTGCTCGCTGGTAAATCACAGCGCCACGTCGCTGGCAGTCACTTGCTCCCCCGGGTACAATGGCGGCCTGCCGCAAACTTTCTCCGTCAGGGTAATGCCACGTGTCTAGTGGAATGCCTGCCTTATTCGTAATGTATTTCAAGCACCTAGGTAACGAGTCAGGTAGCAAGGGTGATGCTACGTGTCTAGTGGAATGCCTGCCTTATTCGTAATGTATTTCAAGCACTTAGGTAAGGAGTCAGGTAGCAAGGGTGATGCTACGTGTCTAGTGGAATGCCTGCCTTATTCGTAATGTATTTCAAGCGCTTGGGTAAGGAGTCAGGTAGCAAGGGTGATGCTACGTGTCTAGTGGAATGCCTGCGTTTATTCGTAATGAAGCACTTAGGTAACGAGTCAAGAAGCATGTGGAATGACACGTGTCGCGCGGAAACCCGTTTTTTTTTTCGTAGCATAGATAGATGAGTTCAATAGAGTTCAATTGAGTTCAATCGAGTTCAATTGAGTTCAATTGAGTTCAATTGAGTTCAATTGAGTTCAATTGAACTCAATTGGACTCAATGATTAAAATGAAAATGATTTAAGATTATAATTCCTATATGTACGAGGATACTGAGGCAGAGTTCGAATGAATACGAGATTATGCTCTGCCGTTTCTTGTTCTTCAGAAAGAGTCACTTAAAATGAGTCCCTTGACATGCAGAAATTGTATGGAGGTTCAGAGAGCCCTCGAATAAAAGGACATGTAGAGTTATTTTTTCCAATAGTGAGTGGCATGAGTTTTAATTATGAAGCCAACTATTAATTCTAAAGCAAATATTGTTCCATGTGAAGATGATAAGATGTATCAATTCTAATTCTATTATGAAAAACAAAATTTTTTCCGGTAAATGTTGACGAATGCGAGCGATTGATAATCCAATACTTTTTACGTCATGGAAAATATGATTTTTTATTTTATTTCGAGAGGTTCTCAAAATTGTTGTCAGCATTTCACCCGTGCTAGTTTTTTCGATGAAAATCACGGTAAAATCGTAATATCCATGTAATATCCTCCGAAACGATAGAAGGAAATTAAAATATATCCTTGAAACTTCCATCGTTAATTAGTATAAACTTATTAGCTCAACATTAAATTAGATCCCAATAATTGCGATTCTTAAAATTCGTTAGAACCACATTTCAGGATGCAATATTAATAATTATATAATTTCTGAAACTGTTCTTGCGGAGTAAAAATTGAAATAAAACACAGTTGAAAAATAATTATAACGATTAATATTGTTCTGCCTTCACGTTTAAAAAAAAATCAAGAAAATTTAACTTTTACAGTTATCAATTAGTATTGCAACTACCAATAAAATACAATTACATCCAAATAAATTATGATATGATGAAATACACTGCATCTGTACAGCAAAGCGAAAATCAATTTCCAGTAAAATTTCAATGAAGTCGTAACGGGTTAACTAGACATTGTTAGCGTTGTGTAGACCTTTGAATTGTATTTACTCTTATTTGAATTGTATTGTACTTAAATTTTAGAATGTTAAGGATCGGAGAGCGTGTTCTCGGCAACACTAGAACGATAATTTATCCTAAAAGCTAAAAAAGACTGAAAAAAATCAACCACCGCAAAACTCATCTCATGTTTCCTCTTCGCGCCTGCTTTCTTCTTGCTCCAGCTAATGAAATGCTCTCACTTGCCTAGGTTTTGGAGGAAGCGACGGGCGTTTCCGTGGCTAACGTGTCGTCAACTTCACCAAATATCGTTGTCGAGAATTTGGCTTCTGGACAAGATTATCTTCTGGAAGTTCGAGCGGTGAACGCCAAAGGGGAGTCCAGGCCCTTTCTGCTGCAAGGCTTCGCACTCAAAGTTGCCGAGAACAAAATACGTATGGTGGAACAGAGCTTTGCTCTAATGAATGCATCTGAATATTTTGGCTGTAAAAAGTACCTTAAGCGTAATTAGTAAGGTTCGTTTATTTGGATATGAAATATTGGTTAATGCTCTGTCGTCATTTAAACTTAGAATGAAGTACTGTAGGTAGCACTCCAATGCGCGCCATGTGTATCCACTTTAAAGTACATTATAACTCACAAATTTTTTTTATTATAAAATGGCTTTTGGGGGATTAAACCGCCACAGATGGTGTTCAAATTGTCTAACCAGAACATAACCAGTTTATAGCCAGTTTGTAACCGGTTCACAACCAGTATTTAACTAGTTCATAACCATTTTACTTGACTAACCAGTTCATTTGACAAATCGGTTCATACGACTAATCAGTTTATTTGACTAATCGGTTCATTTGAATAATCAGTTCATTTAACTAACCAGTTCATTTGACTAGCCAGTTCATTTAACTAACCAGTTCATTTGACTAGCCAGTTCATTTAACTAACCAGTTCATTTGACTAGCCAGTTCATCTGACTAACCAGTTAATTTGAATAACCAATTCATTTAACTAATTGGTTCATTTGACTAACCAGTTCACCAGTTCATTTGACTAACCACTTCATTTGACTAATTGGTTCATTTGACTAACCACTTCATTTGACTAATTGGTTCATTTGACTAACCAGTTCACCAGTTCATTTGACTAACCACTTCATTTGACTAATTGCTTCATTTGACTAACCAGTTCATCAGTTCATTTGACTAACCACTTCATTTGACTAACCAGTTCACCAGTTCATTTGACTAACCAGTTTATTTGACTAACAGTTGTCCATTCCACAGATGCACTGAGTCCCGAGGGACGAGACCTGCAATTGCTGCCGGTGTTCGTGGGTGTGGTGGCTGGAGTTGTGATTATGGTGCTGCTGCTGCTGCTGCTCACTCGACTGCGCTATAATGGCAGACAAATGAGAACTGCAGCTGCCACCACTGCGTCACTTCCAAGCATCAAAAAGGAATCTTCATGTGAGATTATTTACGATGAAGGAATTCCTACCCTACTGGAGTAATTATCTTCGCAACCATCATATTTATTTAAATCAGCTTCAAAGCGAGCAACGGATCATCCCACATAGACCTCCACGTGTCGAACAAATAATATTGAATTGCCTTTTAGAGACTCGTATTGGAATAGGAGCTTGAAAAGTTGATTAAAACTAAAGATTTCCGAAAATTTTCCAGCTGGGCATCACAAATTTCAAGTGTAATATCAAAACTAGATCAAGTACGCGTCCCAGCTAAATTCACGTAGCGACCGATTTCTCGTCTATGATTGGAGTGATCGGTGAGTTTAGGTTGGAAGTCCGATGACTGACGGAGTTTTGTACTCGTGACTACTTTTTTTTGGTTTGGAAATGTGATGACTGACGGAGTTTTGAGCTCGTGACTACTAGTTTTGATTGTAGGGCCGCTGATGACGATTGTTCCAAAACTCGATTACTTGCAGGCTTATCGACGGGCAGCGCTGAGAGGCCGGAGGTATGTGTGGACGGAAGTGTATGTGTGGACGGAAGTAATGTGTGTATGTGTGTATTCGTATGTAATGTGTATGTAATTACACATTACACATTCGTATGTATTGTGTATTTCGTATGTATGTGTGTATTTCGTATGTGTGGACGGAAGTAAAAACTCGATTACTTGCAGGCTTATCGACGGGCAGCGCTGAGAGGCCGGAGGTGCTGCGGCCACTACGTGAGGTGGTGCATCGTGGCACCATCACTGAAAATTTGGGACAGGTCAGGGTTTTGAGACAAAAATTATTATTTTATTTACAAATTTATTAAAAATATATACTTTTTATTTTTTTTAATTTCGTCGTACAAATTAATTTAAACAATATTTTTTATAGCAAAATTGCTGCAATAGTTCGTATTTTTGCTATTATTCATTTATCATCGAAGAAAAAGGTAATCGCTTGTTAATTGGTACGCACATCATTAATTTTTAGTCATGGCTGCCAGATTCAATTAGGAATAGTTTTTGGGCTGCGATCTTCAAGATTCGAATAGAAGGATATCTTTTTTAATAATGCACATGCCCTTTTCCACTTACTTTTAAATGCACATTTCCACATTAAAGCGGAAAAATACATCACATCTGTAATGAAGCGCAAAAGCGTCTATTAATTCTCTCATATTGATTTTTTAGAAGGGCAATACAAATGAAATGAGAGTCATCACTACTGACGGTAAACGGGATAATAACTCATGCTTAGTCGCAACTAAGGGTTGACAATAGATTTTTGGCATTTAAAAAAATTGCTCGAAGAGGGTGCTCATTAATATAGGAATCCAAAAGACGCATAAATAATAACAATAAAAGTGTTCATTCATATCATAAAATTTTTGCTGCATTTATTAGGGTACGAGAGCAAAATGTTTGGGTGCACAAGCTGGGAAGGCAGGGGATGGTTGATGAAGAGTCTAATCTGATTGAATTTGTAACCTTCATATTTTGTTAATATTTCTCATTAAATAAACACTATATTCTCATCTAATCTATCTGTAACAATTCATGTGATAAATCACCACGAAATTTCCAAGATTTTATCTGATCACACGGGGTTGCAGTAAATGCTCATTATCATAATTGTTATTATTTATCAGATGAACAGAATAATTTATTAGGTTCTCTTATGAAAGGTGTGTGGAGGATTATACTGACAATTCTTTTATTTTATTTTTACATTTGATAAACATAAGCTTGAAATTGTAAACAATTTTCTGAACTTTGAAGAACGCATTATTCAAGCATGGCCAATAATTTCCGGAAAAGTCTACGGAATTCAACACTAATATTTAATTACGATGATTAAGAAATCGTTATTATTTTGGAGGCGAATCAGGTATAATATTTAAAAAATTGTAGATTGAATAATAATTAAGAAATGGTATCATTTTTTCCTATTCATTTATAGATGGCTTCCTAGCTATTGCTAATTTCTGGCAGAATATATCGCTAAATTGAAAACTTGAAGAGAGTTATAGCAACTATAATAAAACAACTGACTGACCACATTTCTGGCATCATAAAAATTTCTGAAGCGAAAAACGACAGATGGTTTCTAAATCTTATATTTTAGTTCCATAGGGAAATGGTTTTAGATTGCACATTTGTACGAAAGAGTGCATGCAGAAAAGAAGATAATCCCACAGACTGTCATTAGCTTTAATTCATCGTTTAATAATTTACACAGATAACTAAAAAAATAACATCTACCGTGAATAATAATTGTAAATTTCAAAAACATCAGTATTGGTTGTTTTCATAACATTTTCTCGTCTATTACAGAAATGCAAGATAGAAAACGGTGCCGGTGAAGGGAAACTGCAAAGAAATTCGACTAAAGTTTCTAAAAAAATTGATGCAAGGGGAAGCTATGACATTCTCTGCAGTCCTGATCTTGAGTGTAGTTCAGCAACGACAAGAAAAATACAAACAGCAAAGGAGCAGAGGAGGTCTAATTCATTTTCATATCATTCCATCGAGAAAAAGGTTACGAAATGTTCCCCAGAAAACTGCGGAGAAGATAAACCGTCACCAAGCCTGGCTTCTACTTGGATGAAAAAATGGAAACATGACAAGTCTGGAGTGCTTACGAAAGATAATTTTTCAGAATCAAATGTTGACAATGATTCAATTCGAAAAGAACACTCGATAAGCGAAGAATTTTCATATCAGTCACTTAAACGACATCGAAAAACTGGAGCTGAAATTCCAGAAGTTGTGACTCTAATAAAATCTCCTTCAGGGGACCTTAGTCACATCCATACGCTGCCCAGAACTGTGGGGGACAAGGTCGCTAAGAATGAAAGCGTCAAGGCCGCTCACACGCAGCTCGTTAATTCTAAGGGACAGGGAGAGTTGTTACTGGACTCTGACAATTTATTATACTCATCAAAATTTAAAAACTGTACTAGACGACGGGATGAGAGTTTTGTTTAGGCTGCATGTTATTATAGAGTTAAATAGATTTCAATCTCAATTCCGTTTAGGATACCTCTAATTAATTTAGTAGCTGAATTTTATTTTACATTTCAATAAGATATTAATTACAAATTTCGAAATCAACATATTTACATCCCTTTCATGAATTTTGTAGATGAAACTATTATAATTGGGTAAGTAATTGTGAAGTTATCCATGTTAGTTAGTTATTACTTTTTGCTAAAAACTGGTTGCAAATAGTAAACTTGAAACTTTTATGTATGAAAATAAGTAATCTATTTTTATATAATCAATGTTGGCTGTATATCACTCAAATAAAAATTGTGAGTAATAAACATTTTTTTGTCTAATTCATTAACCGGAACAGAGAGCGTGAACAATAGGGTGCCAAAATATTTATGTTGAATAATATTACACACAGAAAAATATATTATTTATTTCTTTCCTACTACTCAGACTTTAAAGTGTGCCTGTGTACTCTCAGTAACAAAATCAAATGAAACATTTTGTGTGCATTTTAAGCTGCTTTAGCTGGCGAAGGATCGGTTGGCCCTGTATTGAGTGAGCACTTCAAATTTACCAAGAATTAAAAATACATCTGAGTGAAATAAAATTTTCAAACCAATTCATTACTGCATTTGGAGTGTTACTGTAAAAAATAGATATCATAAGAACGTAGAGACAATCAAGCCAATTGGGAAGAAGCATACCAACTTCATTTTCCACGTGCAGTTACGGAAATCCATCCTCAGGAGACGAGGGCGTACCGAAAAAACAGGTATTCATATTAGTTTAGTTGGTATTTGGTCCAAAAGTCCTTAGATTCTTATGTAAAGATAAATTTTTATTTTTAAACTATTTTATGTATCCATTCGCAAATCTTTTCGAATGCTTTAGAGAATGAATCACAATTCTTCAACAGTACGAATCGAGTACGATTTGTCTAAATATCTTTACGACGCTGGTTTTCTTCAACATTAATTGGCGTGCATACCATTTCACTTTAATTTAATAAAAATAAGTCATCGAAGTAATTAAAAATGTGTAACTCGTTACCTGAATTTTTGCCGTTATCAACTTAACTCCACTGAATTAAATTAATTCTGAACAAAAATATGTTCCATACAGTTTTAATGTTAATGTTCTGTTACTTCATTAATCGTATAATATGAATTCTTGTTACATTTCGTATCAATTGATATTGAAATTAAAACTATTCCTATTCGTTTGTAGAGCAAAACAAAAATACATGAAGGATTTTTCATTACAAGAGTCGCTCACTATGTTAATTAGGCGGTTTCTTAGTCCTAAAATGAATTTAAAGAAAGTTCAAACCGCGAGAACAGAATAGGATCTTGGGCCAGATCAGGATTTGTTGGAGCTCTAAGGCTGCAATCGAGGCACGAAATGCATCCAGCGGTAAAATATTGGTGAGGATTTGAGGATGAGGAACTCGAGCGGCAGATGCATTATAAAGGATCGTCGGGGACTCATGTTTTTAGCGCATTTTCTCATTTATGGGAAAAATGCACTATTGTGCTCGCCATGTCCGTCCGTCTGTCCGTCTGTCTGTCCGTCCGTGACTTCACGTTATCGTCGACGAGAAAATGCGCTCTCTGTCACTCACTGCAGTGAGTACTGAGTTATATTTTCTCTACGTTCTTTTTGCTGAAAAACTATATTAATTCGCCATACAAACAATCGTAGACGTTTTTGAAAATCGTTTATCGCCACATTGAAAAATAAATGTTTTAGATTTTTACGAGTTGAATTTAAGACGCATGTTCATAACATAACGTGTTACCCACAATTTTATATTATATGGTCATACTACGGTTCTGGGCTTGTTAGATTGTTCATTTGCACATTCGGTTAATGATAACAAGTGAGCGTTAAATAATTTCCATAGAGCTGAAAGGAACACAATCGGACAAAACGGATGAGTAGAAAAAAATCTGTAATGCTCCGCGACGATCATTAGAGACCAATGTGTCTTTCGAAATTCCGATGTGTCAACAGAAATATAAGTGGGAGAATTTAATTAGATTTTTAGAGACTAGAAGGGACAGGGCAATAATCTAGATATTGACAAAGAATTGATGGTTTAGAAGTACACGGACCACGAGTAAATGTAGTGACAATGAATGGATTAAGGACAAATGGATTAAATGAACATTCAAAAATTCAATCAAGTAAATGGAATTAATAATTTCATCACGAATGTGAACTATTATCAGCAATTAGTTAATTAAATATTCTGGGTACGAGAACATGAAGGATATTAAATTTCATTTCCAAGGTAAACGTTGCCTTGTACGCTATGCAGTTTAGTTCGTTCCGCGATTTAGTAACTAGATTTCACCTTACCCGAGGGCGCTAATACCTTCGTCGGTGCTGCGCCGTATCTTAACCAAGTAAGTAACCTTACCCGAAAACCTCAAAATCCAGAATGTTCCCTTACCCCCTACATTTTAATATCAATATCAATAAACTAAACCCTCTTACATCCCACGATGTCTTATACAATGTGCTCTAGCAGTGTCTTCCATTAAGGTGGGACTTGGCGTCAGGGACCCAACCTCAAACTGCGTGTAACAGGGTCAAATTTTCATTATTAACACAACCTGGAGTCGAATTAACCTAACCTGAGCTAGACAAGTTTGAACAGAAAAAATATGCTCATACAAGGCTGTTCTGGAACGACAGAGCGTATCCAACAATGGCATGGTAAAGCCTATGGGCGCTGCACGCGCGTGGGTCGCTCCGCTCCGTGCCCCCGAATAAAGCCTATGGGCGCTGCACGCGCGTGGGTCGCTCCGCTCCGTGCCCCCGAACGAGTTGGCTTTTCGAAATACTAATTCCAGTTCTTGTCTGAAAACGACAATGAAATGAATCTGAATAAACAGTATTTTATTGTATCAATAGCTGAAAATTTTTACTTTCATCATTCTGTGGATTTTTCAAACAGGATTCAATTACGTAGAGCCAGAAAATCGATGCTACAAAAAGGTGTCATACGTTCTTTCTCTCAGAAGCTTTACTTTTTGCCTGACGTTTTGCGCAGACTGTCCTACCAACAGCGCGAAATAAACTATTAATTTCAATATCTCTTTATCTGGTATTATTAAACTTTCTAAGTCCACTAATTAACGGTATTTATATTACAGCGCTATGCATAACTTGATGACCAGAGACGCCCCAGGCTGGTCGGAAATTGAAACGTGATCTTGAACTTATGTGTCTTGGAAAGTTCAATGTTAGTTAGCAATGATTATGGAGCGGGAGAAGGAAGTTGGAGAACTTTCCCAGGAGAATGAGAGAGAGATCCTTGATCTGCTGGGGCTCATCCATACAGCGTTTTTATGAACATATTCACTAATATGTAGTCTATGTGTAAAATTAAATTATAAATTTGAAACTATTAGCTTTATAACGAGAGATAAACATTTTCATAGCGCTGTATCGCAATGAAATTATAAATTGGACATTTTACAAAAAAATGTATAATGATACGATAGTGGATACGATAGGTATATCCATACCTATCATATATACCTATCAGAGAAAATCAGAGAGATTTTTATAAATGCATAATACATTTTTACTTAATAAAGTTAAAAATCAGGGAATGAGTTTTAAAGTTTACCTGTCAGCTCAATTAATCCGGCTCAATGCAATATAAACCATGATAGCAATTTATTCATTTCGGAGTTCCACTATTCCTTTCATTTACCTTTCAGAAAATTGCTTTGCTGAACGTACAGCTCAGTCAAAATATGCAAACAACACAATCAACACTTGCAATTGATTTTTACGTCCACAACACACAATAATGCGCAGCCACGACCAATTAAACTGATCCACTGCGCAGCCACAACCAATTAAACTGATCCACTGCGCAGCCACAACCAATTAAAATTATCCACTGTGCCGCCACAACCAATTAAACTGATCCACTGCGCAGCCACAACCAATTAAAATGATCCACTGCGCAGCCACAACCAATTAAAATGATCCACTGCGTAGCCACAACCAATTAAACTGGTCAACAGCGCAGCCACAATCAATTAAAATTATCCACAGCGCAGCCACAACCAATTAAACTGGTCAACAGCGCTGCCACAACCAATTAAACTGATCCTTTACGCAGAGACAATCAAGTAAACTGATCCACTGCGCAGACACAATCAATTAAGCTGATTCACTGCGCAGACACAACCAATTAAACTGATCCACTGCGCAGACACAACCAATTAAACTGATCTTTTGCGCAGCCACAACCAATTAAACTGATCCACTGCGCAGCCACAACCAATTAAACTGATCCACTGCGCAGCCACAACCAATTAAAATTATCCACTGCGCAGACACAACCAATTAAACTGATCCACTGCGCAGCCACAACCAATTAAAATGATCCACTGCGCAGCCACAACCAATTAAACTGATCCACTGCGCAGCCACAACCAATTAAACTGGTCAACTACGCAGCCACAACCAATTGCACTGATCCGTAGCAGAGTAACACAGGTTTTAACCACACAGCACTGCATGGCTTCATTTAGATGCGTGGTGCCAGTTCTGTCCAATTGAGTCGCCTACCGCCGCTTCGCCAGCAATTATGAGAAGTGGTCGCTTGCTGCAGGCCTGTAGGCTGTACTATGCTCTGCCACTTATTTCCGTCTAATACCAGCAAGAGTTATCGCAAACACTCTGCTGCACTAGGCAACTGCCTTACATTGCTAATTAAACCTTAAGGAATATTTTTCTCAGCCTGGTCCTAATTATTAGCCTGTCTTGGATAAGAAGTGGTGAATATCCCCCCGTCGTGATTCTATTTAAGGTCATTATGACTAGCCTCTTTGAAGTTATCCACACGAACAATAGTGGAGTGTTTATATAATGGCTTCAAAGAAATCCGGCCGCTTTGAGTGCGTGCCCCATCTGAATGAAGTAATTTTTTTAAATGAAAAAATTGCAAGGGACTTACGTCAAAAATGGTTATGTATGCATAGAAATATTCAAAACAACAATAAATTTTAATAACTTTCGTCGCAGTAAGCTCCAAATATTCACAGAATTTTACAAAAATCCAGTTAATAATTTGTTGCTATATATCAGGATATTATATAAATGACGTAAAATGGAGAAAAAGAAAGTATCCGGATAGAGTAATGGGAATAAATAAAAAGGGTCAATTTAAGTCAATATAGCAACATTAAGAATAACTGTAATTTTCCAAAAAATTTTATACTAAAATTTTCCAGGATTTCTGTAGTGCTGAGCCGTTAAAT